CAATGGATTAGCGAGTGTTCGAGCCCTGAGCCAGGCGTCAGCATCGCAGGGGGGCTCTGAAAGACCCCCATTCCTCACCTTCTCTGCAAAGGTGAATATCTTCCTCTGATCAACTCCTCCAAACTGTGCGTCGACCTTGAGGTACTCCTCATCCAGGGCCTGCAGAGAGACACACACAGCCTCGAGGCCGGGCCCAAGACTCCACACTCCAGCTGTGCTCAGCCTTCGGAGGTCCTGCCCGTCCCCCAGGATCTGCCCAGCCTCTGCCAGGGCACTCCCGCCCTGGGAAGGACGGGAGCTCTCCCCGACTGCCTGCTGTCCTGCAGCTGGCCGGAGTCGCTGTAAAAGCAGCTCTGCACTCGGGTTACGCTTTGTGCTGCTGCCAGGTGTAATATTGGGGTGGAGTATGACGACCTCGGCGTTCAGCCTCGCGTGTCCCTGCAGTCCTGGCTTCGCCCAGCACCTCCCTGGCCAAGAGGCTCTGCCGACCTGCCTCGCCATGACGCACCTGCAGGCCAGGGTAGAGCAAACCGCTCAGCAAGGGGTGCTCCACCTGCTTCACCACCTCTGCTCCTGCCTTCTTCGCGTCGTGCTGCGTCACCACGGACGAGAGGCGGTACACGTCCAGCGTGTACTCCCTGTGGGAAGGGACAGCACTGTTAGCACTGGGGAGGGGGACATCTTTTTAGAACCGCTTCACGCAGACACTGGTTCTGGCCACATCAAGGGGAGCCAAGGCCTGGAGGCACCTTCACTTTGTTCCCTGAATGACAGTGCCCGGGAGCAGGCTCAGGAACAGGGCAAGCTCAGGAACAGCAGAGCCCCGGGTCAGGCTCTTCCTTCCCGAAAGGACCAGGCGCCCCAGGACTCACTTGCTGAGCTGGTAGTCAGTGCCCCGGACGAACTTCAGCTTTTCCAGGGGCACCCCAATGCTCTCCAGCATGGCTTTGATCACGTTCTCGTAATAGCGGGTGCGCAACTCCAGCAGCTCCCAGGGGGCCTTCATGTTGTCTAGGTAAGCATGGAGGTCAGCAAAGAGTATCGTCACCTGGTAGGGAGGGGGACAGAGTCAGTGCCGCGCTGCTCAGGGGAACTGCACGTTCCCGCCCACCAGCGTGGTGACAAAGCCCCCCCAGGGTCTGAGCTCCCAGCCTGGCCACCTACCTCACACCCTGCCTTCAGGAAGTCTGCGATCTTGGACATGGGCACGAAGTAGGCCACGTGGGGCTTGCCCGTGGTGGCGGTCCCCCAGTAGATCTTCAGCTCTCGCTCCTTCAGGATGGCCATGAGCTTATCCTCCCCCAGCACCTCCTGTGGAGGGTCAAGACACACAACCGGCATGGCTGAGCCTCCCCGGGAACACGCTGGGGCGGCTGGGGGAGGACGTGGGCAGGACAACGTCCCACTGAACGGCCG